TAATGCATTGGGGACATCCTTTCTGGTTACTTGTCACTACACCGTGCAATTTCCAGACAGTTGAACGGTGTGTCTGCATTCAGCCTAGACTCTTTCTGCATTTTGCCAATGATACATATGCCATAAACCAAAAATAACTGCTCTACATTAAGAAATTAGACCGCTCTATACAAAATAATAATTTTTTTGCTGTTATTGTTTAGAGTTTCTCACAAAATCCTAAATTAAATAAGAGATTCACATGCTCACAATAGAAGTAAGGGATCACACTGAGTCACCCCCTTATATCAACTTGGATGCTTACAGAAAAGCCATCTGTATGGATAGTAAATAAGTATATCACATTTTTACTATGTTCAAAAATGCAAATCAATTAATATTTCTTAAACAAATCCAACTCTATTAAATCCCCATAAAATATCTCCCAAAGAACTTGAACATTTTTGTAATAAAGCCAATCCATTTTTTCACAAAAGCATGTTTCATAAGCTCTGCAAATTATCCTTCAACATGTATGTAAAGAAAGTATTTTTGTGTGTGTAAAAGTAAACAAAAAATGTCTGTATTTTAAACCAAACCCATCTCTGAAGCTTTGGCCACACATCCCAGAACCATAATTACTACTGATCAGCAAATATGTAATGGATTCTGTCACGAATAGCAGATGCAAGGAAAAACTCAAGCTGACTTGCATTATTATCAGAAACAAATGAGCAAAAGAGCCATTTGATCAAAAGACGGTAATGCTAGTCAGCATCCATTTCTGAAGTATTCATATTAAATAAACCCTGAATTTATGGTGCCTGCTTATATCTTACTTTTCTACTTTCAAAATCCAAATTAAAATCAAGCCACTTTTAATTTATTCAGATGCCTGATTGTGTTCAAGCTTGCATTTCTTCTATTTTCTGCCTAAACCAGCTTGTTCCTCTTTACTTTTCTTGTGAAGTTTAATCTGCTGTTTCTAGCTCATGGGCAAAACAGTTGAAACTCCATGAGAGCAGTTGAGAGGATAAAAGCCATCCTTAAGAGTTATAAGACAGCACTTACTGAGTTGTATCTGCTTTTTTCCCCATTCCTTTAGGGCAAAATGGCTCCTCAAAGCCCTTCTGATGGCAGGTCAAATCTGGCATTAGCTAAGTCTTTTGGATTCTCATTCGTGCTTATAGAGAGCATCAGCACAACTTATGGTACTCAGAAGTCTCTTTGGCTGCTTCATCATTTTCCTACTCAATTCCTAGCACTGAATGTACTTCAGTCCTAAACACATTTAACACTTCTCTGCATTGGCAGAAGATAATACAATCATCAAATGGTTATCCAGTCTAGGAATGAAAGATATGAAATATAACAGGGGATCAGGCCATAGCCAAAAATGCAGCCTGTACTCTCATGCTGGAATCACACACACCCAGAACAGATCTGTTTCTGTAATTAATTTTGTGCTAATCAAATATAAAATAGGGTGAATGAGAATCATGTTTAAGAGGGAGAAAGAAGGGAAAGAATCTTTTTCTTTGAGTTACAGAATCAGAAGTGCTTACCTGAGGTGTACTCACAATGGAGGAGTGGACTGTGAAGATGGCAGAATTTGCAGAAATGACAAAATTGACTTGTTTGATTAGGGACAAAACAGTAAGGACTTTTATAAAAGATAGGAAACCTTTTATGGAGGTTTTGCTGAAAATGGACAAAATGAACTGGTGATTTCTGGATTTGCTGATTAAAAAGAGTTGAATATGGGAAGAAGGAAATTCTTAAGAGGAAGAAATGGTAAAAGTTTGTAACTTCCGTAAAGAAGATCAGAAACCACTTCTTTAACTTTCCTTTTCCTTTTTCCCCTTTATCTGTACTTTATCTAGTACATTTTCTACTTCCCTTTTATATATTTTTCTTGTTTATCTTTTAATTATGTAAAAACTCTCAATAAAAATTACATGTATGTATGTGTGTGTAAATAAAAGAAGCGCTTAGCTGAGGTAAAAGCATTTGGGGAAGGATGCAGAATAAAGATAATTATTACTGGGCTAGCACTGTCAGTTTATACTCCTAGGAAATAATCCAGGATAGCCTTTATCGTGACTTAAACCTTTTAAAGAGAAGGGGTAGGGAACATTTTTCCCCCCCACTTACTGTTCTTGTTACCCTAGAGTAATCTGTTGGGCTTATGTGGTGAAAGCAGGCATGGCTGAAATCAGCAGTAGATAGGATAATACCAAGAATGGCTGGAGTCACAGCTTTCTATCTGTCATCTCCCTTCTGTTTCAAAGAAGGGAGAGATTACTCTTATTAGAAATGTAAACTAATTGCTTGCAGATGGCTTATAACATTTGGGCAAAGACTGTAGGTTGTCTTCCCTCTTTTATGGGATCCAGTTTCTGTGAAATGGAGCACCCTTGCAGAACAAAAGCTGAGAAACCTGGAATACAGTCCACCTTGCTTAGTCCTATTCAAACACTGCTAAATTGGTTATACATACCTTAAGTTTGGACACCAGGAACATCACCTGTGACAGGTACTATCATGCAGAGTGCTGATATACACTAAAGCATTCACAGGTATTGTTGTGGCTTCCACCTCTGTGTAATAATTGTAGCACAGAAATTGGACTCATGGAAGCCCACATACATACAATTTTATGTGCAAAAATCTCCTCAGTACAGATGCCCCAGTAAAACATCAGAGGGCGGATTTATTGGTACCATGATACATATAACACATTTTAAACTCCTGAATATGACTTATCCTGGTCCATCTAAATCTTTCCCCAAGTTTGTTTACTGCATGCATAATTTGTTCCTCTGAAGAACTAGAACTCAGCATAACCAGAGCTGAATAATTTTTATAATTACTCGTTTGATTAACTTATGTATCTTTAAGAGTTTAAATATTATACATAAATGGTTTGATAAAAGCTTTGAAAAATGAAAATATTTACTCTGACACAATCAATTTACAATTTAATATACAGTTCCAAAGCTCTATGTTAAAGAGCACAGAACAAAGACTGATATAGCACTGAGAAGTCACGCCATCACTTTTACCTGAAGTACAATTTAGTCTGCATCTGCTCAGTTGCATACTTACAAAGACAATTTGATTGTGTGAACAAGCTTATGCCATTTGACCAAAGGTGGAAAATAGGAATAAAACTTGTTTTGGAGTGATTCAGAAAGAAAAAGATGATCAAGGTAAAACTAAAGGTTTAAGCCATGCAGAATATCTGCAGAAACTAAGCACATAGGTCTAAAGATGGATTGATTTTAAGTAATTGTATGTTTTAACCTTGCTTCATATGGTTTTAACTTCATTTAGTATAAAAGATATTGCCAAAACCACACAAATCATGTTAAGTCTTTAGCTTTATATATAAAACTATCTGGACAAGGTCAAGACTTTGGAAGCTGACAGTTTTTGTAAGCCAAAGAACTATCATAGAACTTGGTAGTTATATTCATATAACATGTTCAGAAAAAAATGTAAATACACTGCACCAGACTACTTGCACTGTTCGTACCTTAAGAAACCTCCATCTTGTACCCCTTTTATCCAAAATCAACACTCTATAACAAATCTAGGATAAAACATCCAAGTTAATGGTTTGTGATGGTTCCCCTTTAACAGTTAACAGAAATTTCAGATTATGTTGTTTAAAGAGCCACCAAAAAGAGTAAGCAGGGAGTGAGAGAAGGTGCTATGAAAACTTGAAGTTTCTTACTAAGTATATTGTGTGAAATAACATATAAGCAGCTTAGAATATAAGCTGAGAAGACCTAGTTCCACAGTATTATTTTCCTAAATGGACTTTATATTTGTATAAACACTTATATTCTGCCCAGTTTAGAGGCTCCATGCAGCTAATAACTAAAAATAAATTCATAAAATTATAACAAATTTCTTAATAATTATAGAAAAATAAGGAAAAGGTAGACATGCATAGGAGGATTAGACACAATTAACACTGCTGATCTTAATTGCCATATGCTCTCTTAAAGATCCAGATCTCTGTCGCTTTGTGGAAAGATGGGACTATACTGTAGCGGGCATATAGATTTGCCCCACAAGGGATGAGGCAGCTACTGAAAAGCCCTGTTTCAGGTCCATTTCTTCTTGAGGTGTTGAGGAGGAAGAATCCAGAGCATTCCTTCATGGACTGTTCAAACAGGATGAATTGATGCCCCTGGAGGAGGCAGGCCCATAATTAGTTTGGTCTTAAGTAGGAATTATACCTAATGACTAGCATCTTGAATGTTATCTGGAAACAAATACAAGTATTGGGCATTGAGATGAACCAGAGTTATTGGGGGGAGGAGCACCCAATAATCGAGGGCGAGTTATGTGGCAGGAAGAAAAGGATTTGGCGTAGCTAGTGACTAGAAGAATTAGTAAACGATGAAGGAAAGGGTAGTTTGAGTTTAGTTTCACTGCCGGTTTTCTTCACCCTTGCTCATTTTGTCAATTGACGCTGGATCCTCCCTACTATTAGGCAGGGCGAGGCAAGCCGCCTCAAGCAGCAAACTTGAAGAGTCTCAAATATAGGTTATCATTAAGAAGCAGAAAAGAGAAGGCGCCCGGAGACACAAGGAGCGTGTCAACCTACGGCCGCGTTGGCTCCAACGCACACGAACTCGCTCAGTTTCCTGAGCCTCCAACACACACGGTCTTTCAGAGCCTCCCAAACATTTCAGATCAGCCCGTCGGACCGCTTTCCAAGTTGGGGGCTACCCGATATCACAAGGGTCCTCGTATGAGCTCTACGGCACAGGCCCCCTTCGGGACAGCCAACGAGAACGTGGCAAGAGCGAGGGAAGGCAGGACCTTTAAGCACCAGGCCGCTCCACCCCTCGAAGGGGGCCACCGAACGCCCAGAGGGGCCACGGAGGGCGAGGGCTCGGCAGCGCCGCCTCCCCCCACAGCCGACCGTTCACGCGCGCCGGCCGTCACGTGACGGGCACGCACGTGCCGCTTCCCCCGCGCCCTGTCCTCAGCGGCCCTCCTACCCGCGGACAGCGCGTCTTGGCCTTGCATCCCGACGGGCACCTCGCCGTTTTCGAGGATGTTGTAGCCCTCGTCGTTCTCGATGCCCGCAATCTCATTCTCCTGCTGGGCCAGGAAGGCGGCGGCTGGGTCTTCCTCGCCGCCCACCCCCAGTGCCCCGTTTCCCGCCACCGGCCGAGGGGCGCCG